CAAGAAGCTTTCTAAATTTGTATCAAACGGCATCACTTTCACTGTGCGATCGATAAATTGCAAGATGCAACCTATTGGTAACCGTGAGAGAGAACACAGCATGATCAGCGATTTTTCGCAATCGCCCCAGCTTCCAAGTCGACTGCGTGAATCGATAATACGCTATATAAACCAGAGCGATTCGATCGCTTCATCTATCACACTCGGAAGAGTGGAAGAATTCACAGTCGCTTGGAGTCTCCTTAGAAAGATTAACGCTAAAGCTGTTCTGGCATCAAGATGTTCCGTAACGAGTTAGACTACTTAACATTATGCAATTTTCATCGCAGAAATTACGAGATAAACGTTACGCAAATGTTGGTATAGTACCGTTGATTAGGAAGCGTTAGAAATTAATATGCATAGATATGGAATAACAGCTTTTGCAGATTCACCGTTTTAATTGAAACATTTTTTATCCATTACTGTTCTTCATACCTATCTTTGCCGTTTCAGATATTAAACTGCAGACAGTTATATTTACGGCACGAAGTCACGTCCCTTAAATTAAAAATATTTAATCGTGCGTGACTTTATCAATAAATATTTCATTTTTCTCTAAACATGAAACTTAATTCATATGGTAGTTAATATTCATCGTTCTCCGAATTAAAAACAGTTCTCTGGAATTAGATTTATCTCAGCGACAAACTTTAAAGACTTTAAAACTCCAGTCCTTTAAAAGAATCCACTCGACACTGTATCAGTAAACACAACATGTTTACTCTACTACTTCTACGATACCATTAGTCGTTTAATAAAGCCACATTATGGAACACTTTCAAGTGCATCTCGAGTGGATGTATCGAGCATTTAAACCAGCTCAAGCACCCCCAAACCTTTCTGAACGCTACTATAGCCGAGAAGTGGCATAGGAGCTCTTATAAGGACAATTAATCATGATAAACATCAGAGTCCGAACAATGATCTAGAATTATTTAACTCACGCGTTGAACAAAGAAAAGATACCAAGAAAATAAAAGTTCTAACGACAATGACGACTACAGTCCTCCATTAAAACTACTAATGGCTAGAACTGTTGATTTTCATCATGTTCGCTTCCAATCACGATGACTTTTCACTGTCATTCCTGATTTTCGTGATCGTTTCTAATTGGGGTACAAAGAGCAGGAGTTACTGCTTCCGCGAGTCCTGCATATTTAAAATAATAGATAAAACCATGGACTTGGAGGATGGCGCGTCTATGGATGAAACGCGGAAGCCCGTCGGGCATGCGATATGCCGACTCAAACTTGCCTTCCAGACGCTACTATGTCCATTGATAAGAAAATGAAGAATAGTGAATATTTTTATTTTCCATAATAAATAATAATTATTTCAAAATCAGACATATTGGATATTTAAAAAATAAAAAGCTATTTCAGGTCACTTTAGTAGATATAATTGATTATAATCACGGGTGGTTATCGTGAAAAATCATGGTTAGTGATTTTGAACGCGATCTCTAGTTACAACGAATTTTATTTTCCATCCATCCATTTACCCATCCATCGGACATCACCCTACTGCCATGTGCGATAGAGATGCAGCCGGCTCGGTCCAGGTTTATTGAGAATTCTCTCGGACATTGTAACGGCACTCGAAACTTAGCTGCCGCACGTTTCTCTGGTTTTGTATCCACCGGCAAGGCTATTCGCCTACTCCGTCACTCTCGTACGCGCGCTATGCAACGCACACGCGCGTCTTCACCTACACACGCTAAACGAACGCGCCATGCCGTGCCGTGCCGCCGGCGCGACCGGTTTCTGCCAAGCTCCAAACAAACACGCGTCGATCGATGACAACGGTACACCGATCTTCGTCGCATTTTCGTGAACCCTGTGTTCATGTTTTTAGTTCGCCCCCTCGGTTCCGCCTCGACGCTCTTTCAAACCCTCCTCGCCGAGGGTACTGCCTTGCCGCACAGTGGCAAATTTCACCGAATTTTGGTCAAAGTAGTATTTTTTAATTTACAACACACTATTTAAATAAAGTGCAATAAGACTATCTTATACTGCAAATCTGCTGGTTAATTAGCATGAATGCGTTACGCATAAAGAAAGGCATGATAATATCAGGCAAAACATTTCTTCGGTTTTATGTTATAAATATACTCCACCACAAACAGTATAGTAAACGCAAATATAATTATAGAACTCGAAACATCCTTGCGGAATGCAACGTTAAAAATGTGTAAGCGCTTGGTGTGAATCGAATTCCAAGAAGAAAATCTTTTTTTTTTTTCACGTACGGGCATCAGGTAAATGTTTAAGCATGCATTTGCAACACTTCACGACATTTGTCTGAAGCCATTGCCCTCAACGAAAAACGGTAGTATTTGATCGAGGAATATGCACGACTCTGGCGGATTACAAAAGCGTTTCGTTGAATTAAAGTTTAATGAGAGGTAACGTTTCTCCTGGAAACCTCAATCTGATTGCAAGACTGCCAATGAATTGTTTGGAATGACGATTAAAAAATGGCGGAGCTACGTTTAAAATCAGTAGTTCCGAACGGTACCTCGACCGAGTCGCTCGGTTAGAATAATTATTTCCACAAGCTGCTCACGAATTACTTCTAATAATAAGCTAGGAACTACGATTGCTGGAAAATATACAAAATGTTCAATAATGAAATATAAATAAATTGTATATATGCCTATCGTAAATCATTTCTTATTCAAACTGTTGAAACATTCTAAAAGATGCAGTTAAGAAGATTAAAAAATTCATGACACAATTCTTGCACCAGTCTTTACATTCAGAATCTGTTTATACAACAGATCTGTTCTTCTCGTTAATTATTTATCGCATGAAACGTGCGATTACAAACTGCGAAGTCTAACGAAGTGGAAGCTTCGGTATAAAGGGTTCCACGATCTTCCTCGCATTTTATTTGCTAATTAATCAGCAGGAGGGTGACCACGCGGAACATCTGAATTATATTTGCGAGGATTCAGAAATCTTCAGCGATTACTACAAATTACAGTTTTAAGCTTGTTCGACTTCCACATTTGAGCGACACGAGGACATAAATGTTGTTTACCGCATGACACTACTTAACGAGTGGATACACAACACTCGGTCAAATAAGTAACTGTAGTTTGTTTCGCTTTACATAAGTAGATAAACAAACAAATTTAAATGCCGAGGAAGACATTGTACCACGCAAGTCTAAACTGCGCATCGATAATTTATCAACGGTTGTTTGAAATTTACATTTTTAAAAATTTGAACTTGACGAAAACATTATAATGTGTTTATAATCGCTCCCGTGCTTAATTAGTAAACCCTTAACCGGTTGACGGCAAAAGTATTTATCTACTGTAAATAAGAAAACATAAACGTCGTTACTTCTTTTATCGTCCTAAAGAATAACACTTAGTGGTAGCAGCGTACAGAATTAGAATGGGGCTAACCTCTGTAAACACAAAATCCCGTCGCTACGTATAAATCACTCAAATCCAGAAATCACGGGCTGCTATTTTAAACGAGCCGTTTGTTGGATCCTTTTGTCACCGGACAACGACGAGTCACTGCAAACGAATGATAACCAAACGCGAATTTGACTAAATTACCATAAACATAGATAAATAATCGAAGTAACATTAGAACAATGTTAAGTATTGTAACTCCGTAACACACGCCGATTCAAACAGCTGCAGGGATTGCGTGGAAACTAATAAGGGGCATAATTTATTGCAGACAATGAGGGTGAAATACAAGGTGACACGAGTGAAAATGGACGCAACCCGACGCCAATAAACTACTGTCTGTCTACCGAAAACATCTTCCTCATTTTCTTCCTCGAAATAATATCGAATAAATTCTGCTTGCCGCCGAAGTGCAAACAGAGTACGTAACTGTCCGCCTGAATTACGCGGGTAACCAGAGGAAAGTATAAACTACGGTTCGTTTGAAAAATATCCAAGAACTAAATGTAACACGAACAGACGTGATTTAGCCTCAAAGCTTTAGGATAGCTCCAATGTACCACGTAATTTCGAATTTGAGAGAAATAGTCAGTTTAAACGTCAAGACGCATTTCGCTAAGAAATTTCGTACGGTCCCATAAAAGACGGTTAGTTTAGGAGCAACAACTTAGTTTTACTTAGAACTAGACCGTCACATATCACAATTTAAACGAGCATCAATTATTATTAGATCCGTAATCGACCACTAATGCGTAGACTGTTCGTACGATTGTACACATTGAATACGGCTGATCGACAAATATATCTTCTATTTTCGGCATTGTACAATTTTCCCCGCTCTTCTTTCATTTGCAACGCATAACATAACTCGAATTGTCCTAGTTTGTATCAGGGAAATTGAACTCGTTTCTGCATGAGTGTCGATGCCTAAACGGCATGACTCGGACTATGGTTTGCGTGTGAGTTTGTGAAAGAATCTCGGGGATTGATTGGTGAAACTTAAACTAATTTTAAACTGGTTGTACAGACGTTGTGTATTCAATTTCGAGACCTACACGTCGACCTGCCTAGCTCACGAGGGGAACTGGCACGCAATTTCCAGCCCGATTTAACAGTAATTTGCTATCAATTAGACCAGCGAAAAGATCTGTTCCTACGAGTTTAATATTCTTTAATTCGGTTGGCAACGTAGAAAATCATTTGCGTGACAATTACATCGGCTTAGGAACGATCTTACGTGATAATCTCGATTACGCTTGCACATTTTCAACCGACGGCCAGATGAGAAGCGTTCAAGTCGTTTTATGTAATTCAAGGTCCACGCCGGCTTACTACGTTTCATTCTCAGACGCGAACATATCATCAGCACATTGAACAGGATTCTACCATTTTGATAGAATAACCTTACTCAATCCGTTTGTAGTTTAACATAAATAAAAGAACTAGAAGATTTTCATAACTGAACGATGTGAAGAATCGGTGCACGACTTCGTACACCTAAAGGATCACGCTTAAACAATCGCCTTACCTTTAAGAGAAGTTCCCGCTGCGGGACGTCGAGTAATCCACAGGATGGCAGAGGGTAGAAATCCACAAACAAAACAGCCCCGCGCTCAAGAGGAAGCTTGTCCACCAACAAAATCGTACGCACTGATCGTTCGTCCGGCGGTTATTTAATCAAATCGTACAACACTACCGTGGATTTCCGTTCGACGCGACCGTTGACTATAGGAAGGAACAGGGGAAAAAGAAGTTTGTTACGAGTACTGCAGCCACCTATGAGGGTCGAGTGTTTGCAAATAACAGAGACAAGCAAAGATGACCGACTCGACCGGCTCACCGTGAGGGACTGACGTGACGGTGCTCTTCGATTGCTGGCCGCTTGTTCCTCAGCTTCTGCGCTCGGCTCTCGACGCGAACGTTCGACGCCAATCGACTACCTCCGGCTAGTTTCGACCTTTCTCGAGTCCTGAGTCGAACCTCGATGTAGACAGAGATGTGAAAGGAAGGGTGTTGGAGGGAAGAAAAGGGATATAGAGAGAGAGAGAAAGAGAGAGAGAGAAAGAGGATACTGGCCTCAGGCTTGGCAACCTCGACGAACTTTTGCTCAGGTCGAGGCCGTACGAGCGTTTCTGTTTTCGTGTTGGAATTAAAGAGCCTCTCTCGGGATCGGTCCAATGATAACGCAGAATGCATCATCCTGTACCTCGTGTTACGCAACCGATCGACATCTTTGGTCACTCAAAACGCGCGACCTCGAACGAACATGACCAAGATTGCTCCGATTCGAACGTAAGCGTCAATTGTCTCTCAACATTTTTGAGCATCTTTTATTTTATAATATCTAATCTATTTTATAATATCTATCACTAAATTGTAAATAGTAAACGCACTGCAACTATAATATTGATTGTTTATTTTATTATGTATTTTAATTACTATTTAACATAGTGGAGACAACGATTATCTGTGCTCAAGAATTTTATGAATTTCGAGATCACAAAAAATTTTACTTTTTCATTTAACTCATCCTAAACGTGTAGAATAACATCTTCCCACTTTGACTACCATCAGCTGCATTAATCATTAGAACGAAGAATCTGTGCGCTAGGGTTAATATTGATACTGATAATGAAAGGAATCACTGATAAATTGAAGAGGAAATAATTCTTATGTGAGCGATAACATGAAAGGTCGTCGACCTAGAACTTTACTCTTTGACTATACTCCGAGTGGTAGTGATTACATCGATAGGTAGACACGTCGTTTGTTGTTTTTCCCGCAAGAATTTTTCTCATTTGATTTCCTAGTTAACGATGATATAAATTTTCCCTTGAATACTGGTTACTTTCCGTTGGATGCTTATTGCGTGTTTATTAATTAACATAAATACGTAATTTCAGAGCAGCAGAGGGAGACAGTAGCCTTGAATTCTTTTGCATTAGCTTCAATTAGATTGCCAATTCATTTCGCCCAATTAGATTATTATTTATGTTAAATATTAGAGCATCTGCTACTGGAACCAACTTCTCAAGTGCTGTAGGTGTAGAAATGTTTAGCTGTTTGCATGTACTATTTCTCTACATAGAGAAGCAATTTGAAGGACAAAGATCATAGTCAATCCTGTGCTACGAAAAATAGACAACATGTAGATAAGCTATCTCTCTTTTTTATGGGTTTGTCTACCTACACTTTCGACAAATATGAATGCTGTATCCAGTAGTATATGCTCTAGGACTCTAGGATTACTATTCGTGAAAAATTTTCATGAAACAAATTCCAGAAACGATATTTTTATTAAACTATTTCGTTCGTGCTTTATTCTCCAATGAACGCCGTTTCAGGGGCTGCGAAATTGCGTCGAAAGAACCGGTAGCAAAATAAAGCTGTTTCACTAATAATAGAGTAGCGAAGCGGCGCGTTGCTTCCAGATTAAATGCTGTCTAGGAAGCAGTCAAGGTCATAGCGGTCCCGAGATTGAATAAGCAACGTCAGATTTACTGTAGGTATTAGTAATTTTCCAGATCGATTTGCGATGTTCCCTCGGTTCCCTATACGGGAAAAGGGAAATGAGAAACGGGGACAGCCCAGACACATCCTGACACACCATACGTAGAGGTTCGTGTTGGTAGACAACATGCTCATCGAAAGTCGATGGGAAATAGAAAGTAAGTAATGCTATCGTTGTCCTCCAAGTTTGTCGGTGAAATGCTGAAGACGGCGACACGAGGCATCGCACGTGCGTTCAAGTCATGAACCGCAAAGGTCTCGGCGAAAATGTTGAGAATGAGTGCAGGAATTACCGCAGAGTGAAATTTAATCTTCTTTTATTCGCAATTATTACATTTTTTATTAATTTTATGAAGCTTCCTGTTCACGATGAAACAGGATGACAAAAATGAAGTTTTACGAAGCGAGAAGAAAGAATATGTAGTGTACAGAACATCTGGATCTGAATAGGAGGATGCGGACGAAATAAAACCTAAATATTTCCACTGCCGTGAAACTCGGGCTGCCTTGTATCATCGTTGCCTTTAATGACTACGCGTTCAACCAGTACTACATTTAGACAAGAGAACGTAAACCAACATCTGCCAAACCATGAAAGATAATAATCCTTTTGTATAAACTTCCTTGGAACGTTTTTATCATCATTCACATTCTTTCATGAATTACATCTTATGATTTTATACTTCATGCATATAAATCATTGCACATATACGTATAACGTACATTCCACACTGCTGAGCATTCCACCCTTTTGAGAAAGACATAATAGCCACAAATACAAATGTCAGTAGTAATACATGTCCATTAATAGAAATTATGCCTTCCGAAGATTGCAATTTTATTAACGTTTTCTTGGCTTCGTTAATTATATTTTAAAGTATAGTTCGAGGAGTGTATTTTTCGAAAGAAAGTTTACGTTCACTGCGAACAGCGAGAGTTAATTAACCATAATGCGTGCTAAACACGCACCGCGTGTAATACAGTTTTATTAAAATCTGATTCCAATAATGGCGAATTCACATCGGACACGATATCCCCAAGCAATAACGTTCTTGGGGATCCAATCGTTTACGCGGTCTCATGCGCGGTGACTGAAAATTTATCGCAATACTAAAGGGCACGCAGAGTATGCAAACGAAATGGTCGATAACCACTGTGCATCGTCGTATAATTAACTAGTATCTTTTACAGCGTGTTACACGAAAGAACCGGTAACAGATGCTTCAAGCACAGTCCCGAACGGTCAGGAATCTCTTTGACGTTCTATTAGTCCATTACGACGACCGTGGCGATTAAACGCTCCTAAAAAACTAGCTGCGACGTATCGTATTCACCGCTGCAAAGGTCTCTACATCTTTGTCAAGTCGCGTAATTACCCTATTAAGAGTCACAACGTCTCTTATTTGTCGTCGAACGGAAGCGCGGTCTGTTTATGACGTGAACATTTAGACGTGGAAAAGCCTCCGTCGAACGACGAGGCGGTGTTAATCTCTTAACATTAGAATGTGTTTATCGATTGCTGCTTGACGATAACGAGATTCTTCTCCTCGTCAAATTGTTTGCTAGTGTGTATTACGTAAATACCAAGTACCAATTACAAATGGGTTATCAATTTTAACTTCTTCAATGTTTGTTATGAGAAATAAAGAAAAATTAGTATAATCTGAAACATCGCCGCATTTCAAAGTAGTCGAGATTTCAGGTGAAATTACGAAAAGAAATTTTAATGCGGCTCTGGCGTTCAGCATCCCGGTATCATTACGGATCTGCGTTCCAATGTAAACCAGACGAGAAGAATGCGCGGAGAGCTCGTGGAAGCAGGTTATCTGGCCGTTTGTCTAACAGGTGGATATTCCTTGGCCTGGTAAACACATGAACAGATAAGGGTGGTCCTCCTAGACTTTGCATTCGGCTGGTATTCAAGATAACAACCGAAAGGGATTCGTTGTTGCACCCTCAGTTTACCGTCCGTAATTTCTCTTGCCATGAAGCAATTAAACATTTTTTCCACGGCCGTTCGTTGAGATCAAGGCCAGCGCTTAGGCCCAACGGCAGCTCCCGTGTTCCGACCGATGTAACTTTCGTTTTTCCCTCTCGCCCTTTTTCTGCCCGGCTCTTTTTCTCTCCCCCTCCCGCCCCCCCCTCCTCGTTTGTGTTTCTCGCCATTCCAACACGGGCCAGCGAAACCCACCATTATCTACACGAGCGAAAAAAAGATGAGTATTAATATATATTCAGCAGATCCCGCCATGTCGCTACAGATTATTATCCCGGCAAGGGAGGATGGATAATCCACCTTCGCGCCGTTCTGTCGAGCCTTTGTTGGCTACGATCGTTCAATGGTAACTTTGTATTCGAAAGTCTCTTACGTATCGCGAAATCGATATGATCAGCTATTATTATATTTCATCATTATTCCATTTCATGGGAAAGTTTCAGTACCTATACAGTTCTGAAAATGAAGACAGTTTCAAAAAATTCCAATTTCGTTTCGTAAAATTGCTCAGAAAAAAGGAAGAGCGTGTACCAATTTCCGATTTGACGGTTCAACTAATCAATAGCTGCTTTTATCATGTTTATGACAATATAGTTTGTCCATTCAAAGCGATTTTTATTATAAATATTGAATTTGCTGGTCAGAAGGGAAAAATGTTTACATTGAATCGGAGCATAAGAAAAAGTACAAACGACATCAAAGAGTTTCCTCATCTCCTTTATCCCCTAAGCTTTCATGGAATACAAGCAATCGACTTCCAGGAATATCCGTTAAAGGAGAAATACCGTATTTTCTTTTATATACCGTAGAATACAAATGAAAATAAACCATGTACCGCATGCACGCTTTATCCAGTGCTAAGCTGGTGCCGGTAGATATAGATGCGTCTGTGTCTGTGGAGTCATCAGGCTGATGACGAAAATATCATACGTTTTGTGTCTGTTATACTGCATGGGTACATAGAATGTGCAGAGACATTTCGAGAAGGGAATAGAAGAGTGAAAGGCGAACCAGACGAATATACCCGTGTATAGTCAAGGAGGGGTCGAAATTATCCCGGAGGAAAAGGCTGCATCGGTGCCTGTAGGCTGTCGCTTTAAATTACAACCAGGAAGATGGTAGACCCCCGACCATCTGGACCCTTTGTTTCACTCCCGAGCTCGTCCTTCCCGAAGGCACGCGATACGTATGCCTCGGAGTCTTCTCCTCGGCAACTTGAAGATAAAGGACACCGACGTATTCCTCTTTTTGCTTTGACCGGGCATTACGAGAGGGAGAAGCTTCTCGGGGCATACGCAGCGGTCGGAACGACAGGAAGAAACGAGAATGTTGAGCGTCGTGTACCTACTAGAATTTTTCAACCCTTTTTTACG